CGCCGGCGCGTGTTTGAGTGTCGCTCTCGGAAGGGGTTGAGGCCGCCGGCTGCTCCCGCCCACGGCCAGCCCCTCGGCCGTCCCGGACGCGGCCAGCTGCGAGCACCGCCCCCCGGGGACCCCAGCCCGCGCGCTCCTTCCCAGCGCCGGGCAGGAAGTCCGGGCCGCCGCGAGCCGGAGCTGCAGCGGGAGGGAGGGAGCTAGGGAACGAGGGAACGAGGGAGCGAGGGAGGGGCGGGCCAGGAATGTTTCCAGTGGGTGGAGACTCGGGCCCGCGGCTGCAATCCAGCAATTGGCGGCTCGGCGAGGGCCGGGGGAACCTTCGCTGTGCAGCGAGCTGGAGCCTGGGGTGAAGGCTGCGGTGGCGGCCGGGCGCGGGCGCGGCCAATGATTAACTCCGCAGGTGGGGCGGGCGCTGCGCTCGGGCGCTGTCGGTCCCGCCGCCGGCCCCTGCCGGGCAGCCCAGATGCTCTAAGATACCAAGACGCACGTGCTGGGGGGGTCACCCTGGTGTCACAGATCTGCTATCACCGCTTCCCGAGCGGGCACTGGACAGCCAGAACACCTGCATTGAACGGACAGGGACCACCAGGCCCAGCAAAGGGGGCTTTCCTCAAGCCAGTCACCATTTGGGATCAGATTTGGAAGTCCTTATCCTAACAGAGCAGGCCACCTCGGCCTTTCTGAGTTAGGATGGCGGATCTTGAATTCCTGGCCCGAACTCTGTCCCCGGGATTCCTGTACAGATGTAAATCCAAACCTCAGAGCAGGTGACAGGAAAGAGAGGAATCTGATAGCGGAGGGAGCTCCACGAAGGACTGTTAGGTGGAAAAAAACAAGATGCAGAAACCTGGGTGACAGAAGACCCCGTTTTTGTAAAACAAAGACAGAGAACCCTGTCTTTATGTCTGCTCACATGGAAAGATACACACCTGGAAATTGGGAGGCAGGGAGGTGAAGGTGGGGGACAGCCACGTTCAATACAGACAGGTCGGATTTTGAGCTAGAGCATGAGTCTAAAAATCTGTAATAATTAATCAGTAAAGATCCTGGAAAAAAAAAAAAAAAAAAGATATCCCAACACAAGCCAAGAAAGAAGCCCAGGTGGGACCCCGGAAAAGGAACGACTCCCACTGGTTCGGTTGATTGGGAGGAGGAATGGAAACCGATATCAGAACCACTGGGTACTTTTGATATCCGCGTGTAGACAACTTGTATTAAGTGTGTATAGTAAACGCTTCATATAGTTCTAGTTAACAAAATAAGCCCCCACCCCCACCTCACACACACACAAAAAAATGCTGCTCCGGGGAAATGCAGGCTCCAGGTGATTACAGGAAGGGGAGGGCAGGGCGCGGGAGGAAATGGCTTTCAGGTGACTTTGAAACAGGATCCCGGCAGAGGGTGGGGTGAAGACAGCCCGGCATCCTCGCTCCTGACTGCGGGGGAAGCGGTAGGCGCTGGGTCTGGCGGGCCCCACATTCCTCAGGGCGGGAGGGTCTGTTCCAGGCTTGCAGAGCCCCAGACTCGCGGACCGCGAAGGTGAGAGCCGAGGCTGCAGAGCGCGGAGGGAGCGATCGGGGATAAACTTCCACTGCACCTGGCGCCGCAGGCCGGGGTCGGAGCTGGAGGGGAAAGTGAGAAGCCCCTCCTTTCTGGCCTTCCAGGGGGCAGTCCATCCTCAGGTTTCCACGTTTCTTTGTTTCTGCTTCCTTCTCTGATCGCCTGAATCCTACCAATCCCTTCCTGCCCACCTCAAATTCCAAAGAAGCGCCGTGACTTCAGCCAGGCCAGGTAATAGTGTTAATGACAGTAATAACTGTCATTTGTGAAAGCTTGTCATGTGAAAGCTTGTCTATGTGACACTCATACAGAAATGTTTACATTTCTCCCTGGATCCTCACAACCACCTTATGAGGTAGGAAGTATCCTTAGCCCCGTTTTACAGATGGAATATTGAGGCGCAAAGGGATGGAGCAACTTGGCCAGGATTTGCATAACCAGCAAAAGCAGAGCCGGATTAGAGCCCAGATGGGTCCAACATTTGAGTGCTTACTGCGTTCGCCATTATTCTAAGTGCTTTACAAGAACAATTGCAGTTACCAAAGAAGAAACTGAGGCAAGGTCATACAGTTAGTGGGTGGTAGACCTGGGAGTCACAACGGGGCAGCTGTGCTCTTAACCACCACCTACCTCTTTTGCTTTCTTTCTGACACTTCTTATATGCAATTCAGCACTTGATTATAATGTCCTGCATTGTTTCTAATTGTTTTAATTTACATCGCATATTTCCTAAAAAGATCATAATCTCCCTGTGGCAGAAGTCATGTAGGAAGAGCTCAATAAAGTAATGTTGAATTCAGATGAAACAACCCAAAGAGTTTGTGAGAAATTTCACAATCTCACCTCCGAGAGTAAAAATCTGTGTCTGGGCCCAGGGGCTCCAGGCTACAGACCCTCCCCGTAGCTCAAGAGCCTCTCTCCTTCCTACCAACTCTTGCCTCAGTATCCTCACCCTGCTATTAAATCATTTATTATTATAATAATACCTTGTGTCTCAGTAATGTCTTTAATCCAAGATCTCAAAGTGTTCTAACAAACACAGATTCATCTTCACAGTATCACCACTGAGATGAGGAGATGGAAGGATTCTCCCCATTTTATGAGTGAGAAAACCAAGACAACAGAGAGTGGCGATGACTCACTGTGGAAATCAGTGGCAGGGTTGACTCTCCCATCTCTTCCCCTCCTCCTTCTAACTCTTGGCTGCCAGCACTTGCATGAAAATTTCAAATCCCTGAGACAAAGGCCATTGAGTTTTCACAATAAAGGACATTTCCAAACTGTCATTTCAGCTGCTCTATTGTGGTAGACCTCAGGAGAGGGAGGGGATATAAACACAGTGAAGAATTCCTTGGGCTCTTGGCTCAGAGAAAGCCATGGCTGGCTGGGATGGAGAAATGAAATCCCAAATATGGAGGAAATGCCCCTCAAAGGTGGTCTGAAAAGCCCCACCAAGCTCTGAGGTCTCAAAGCTTCCAGAGTCTCAAGTTGCATTTTAGCAATGTTTCTCAAAGGATGAGCCATATGCAGCAAAAGAAAAAAATTAATTGGAATCATCAAAAGGTAAAACTTATGCATTAAAGGATATCAAGAAAGTGAAAGGACAACCCAAAGAATGGGAGAAAATTTTGCAAACATGTGTTTTAAGGGACTTACTGGAAAACATAAACAACTCCTACAATTGAATAATAAAAAGGCAAATATCCCAATTTAAAAATGGGCAAAGGATCTGAATAAACATTTCTCCAAAGACATATAAATAGCCAATAAAAACATGACAGGATGCCCAACATCATTAGCCATCAGGGAAATGCAAATAAAAAACACAATGAAATGCCACTTCACACCCACTAGGATGCCTATTATCAAAAGCACATAATAATAAATGTGGGTGAGGAGGTGGAGAAATTGGAACCCTCTTGCACTACTGGTGGAAATGTAAAACAGTGTGGCTGCTTTGGAAAAGAGTCTGGTAGTTCCTCAGAAGCTTAAACATAGATTTTCTATATGACCCAACAATTCCACTCCCAGATGTATACCCAGGAGAAATGAAAACTCCTATACATACAGAAACTTATATACAAATGTTCATAGCAGCAATATTCATAATAGCCAAAAAATAATAACAACTCAAATGTCCATCGGCTGATGAATAGATAAACAAAATGTAGTCTGGCCATACAATGAAATATTATTCATCCATATAAAGGATAGAAGTATTGATTTATGGATGAACTTGAAAACATGCTAAGTGAAAAAAGCCAGTCACAAAGACCAAATATTGTATAATTCCATTTATAT